ACTTAAGAGTTAAATGGTGTGTGCGATTCTTAGCATATGATTGGGTTATCCTTCATCGTGACCTTGTGTAGCACCCCAAACAATACTTTAAAAGGTAGGTATCAGGAACGAATGCAAAGTCTTGGAATTGATTGGTCCACGTGACTTATTCATGGTTCAATAAAAAAAAAAACTTATAAATGAGCACATACATCTGTAAAATAAAGATGCAATAACAAACAATAGTAAAAATAATTTTGACACAAAAATTAGTGACCCAATGTAAATTTAAAGTCCTCAGTACTAAATATTTTGTAATTTTCATCGAATTTTTTATCGGGCAGATAAAATGATAATCGCTGATCGTCAAAGACTTAATCAAAAGAATTTGTCGATCATTTCTAAATACGTAATGTTTCGTAGATTTTAATGTTTTTTGCAGGGCCCAAGAATTTCGGGTTAGATTCATCGCAACTGAGTGATACTAGCTAGACATTGGCTTCGTTAATAGGTTTTTAGGCTCAGTCACTGAAATTCAAACCAATATTCAAATTGCAAGTACTATCAACTTCTTTTATTAAGAGTCATTTTCTTATACCAGACAATGAAGAATATGGTTTCTCATAACTGAAATACTGTCTGCATAGATTTCTCCCATTCCTGGTTTCGCGTGACAACGTTGCGCAGCTACTTATTAATAATTATACCAATTATTATTGCGACAATGCTCATGTCGATGATCGTGTTGATAATCAAAATGTTGATAATTACAGAGATTATGATAATTATTATATTGATGAAGAGATTAAACAACAATTTTTAGAAGCTGATAAATTGATCAAAGAACAGCCAATTACTACAAAAAAACATGAAAATGTTATATATACATCTAAACTTATCGATATAATAGAAATCAATTCAAAGTTTGAAATTTTTAGTATTAATCAAGATCTTAAACCAAGTTAAGAAATTCGGATTAATAATATTGATACCAATTTAAAAATAATGGGTAGCTGCGCAGCGCGTGACACCGCGCAGGACCAGTACGATCTCTTGCACGTGAATAAGCAAATTAGAGGATTCACTTATATAACATTATACACAATAGCATGAGTATGTATTGCTATCGTCACAGAACCTAATTGCCAAACACGCAGTTTTGTACCGCCATTGCAGATCTGGAGCCTGAACACCAAATGTCCGTGTTGCCCAAACACCGATAAAGAGCCTTTTGTTATGGAGCCTATTTCTGTATTTATGAAACAATGTGACCTTTCAACACTGTTATCGTGGATCCTAATTTCTAGAATGAAGTTACTCATTATTATAAAGCCTAACTTCAAGAATGAGGTTCTGGACCCTACTCCCTAGACTCACTCTTCACACTGTCATCGTTGTGAAGCTCAGCTACTCAGTGAAATGAGTATTAATAAAGTGTGAAGGTTTGAAACGATTGTGGATAAGTTGAACGGAACCAGATGAAACTAGTTATTAACCAAAACTATTTTGTGTAAATAATAAAAGAAACCCAAGATCAAAAAAAAAATAAAACAATGGCAAAAATCTGATGAAACGAGCAAATTTCAACAAAAAGTGCAAAATCTAAAAAAATGAATTTAAAAAAATTTGATCAATACCGTATTATCTCGAAATGACGCCCGGGGTGTGGGTTAAATTTTGGCCTGAGTTAAGCTTAAATCAGCCTAAATTCAGCCAACCTTTAACCTACACCCTGGGCACTATTTCGAGATAATGCAATAGCATTACTTTACGTAAATTACGTCAATTTCGCATCATAACAATAATGATCAATTTCGAAAATAACATCGGTGTTGCATCATTTTACATATGGAGTTATATCATGCGGTATGTAAAAATCTTAACTCCTTCCAAAAATGAACAAATGAAAATCATTACTCCTACTAAAAAAGAATTTTACGAAAATCGGCATAAGCGACATCAAAAAACTTGAACCAGGCCATCCCTACCACATTTCATGTTACACATAAAATGTGATCGTACTGGTATATTTTAATTATTTTCTATGAATAACATGTTATATTGAATGTGTAGCTTATATATAAAAGTTTTTCAAATTTGTTAATAATTATTATATAAGATAAACGTAATATCTCAAAATTTTATTAGAAATATTTGTGTAGTTGCTTAAATAAAAATGGTCAGCATCTAATTTTAGGTTTTGGTAGATTTCAACGACACCTAATTCGCCGACACCTATTTCACTGACGGCCATTTTACCGATAGTCCACTTCTCTGACAACACATTTCGCTGACAATCCATTTCCTCAACAGCCACTTCACCAACTTCACTTTCCCTACTGTCCATTTTGCCGACAATTCATTTCACCGACAATTCCATTTTATATTTCTCTAGCCATTACTAACTATAAAGCGGGCCAACCCTAACCCAAAATCAGGCCAGAATTGTCAACGAAATGAACTGTCGGAGAAATAGATTGTCAATGAAGTGAAGTTTGGGAAGTAATCTGTCGGAGAAATGGACTGTTGGTGAAATGCGTTGTCAGAGAAGTGGGCTGTCGGTGAAATGGCCGTCGATGATATAGGTGTCGGCGAATTAGCAGTCGGCAAAATGAATATATACCCTAATTTTACATATAGCATGCTTACCTAATTTTACATATAAACATAGTTTTAACTCTAATTTATATTAACTTACCCTAAAATATTATTCTACTGTATAAGCGTGAAATAACTGGAAGAGTTGAATAATGTAATTACGGCAGTCTCAGTACGTCGAGAAAAACGGGTGTGCTCATTTCACCGACAATCACTTCATCGACATCCTATTTCACCAACAGTCAATTCGCCGACAAGTTTATTTCACCAACAGTTATTTCACTGATAGTCATTTCACTGGTAAAGTAATTCTGGCATTTTCGTTAGGGTCATGTCAGGAAATCGGATGCCAGTGAAATGACACGTACCCATCATACAGTGTATGCTAATCACGTGACCAATAAGACAGGAACGATGATTGTACTACTTATGCCACTAAAGCAGGAAAACAGGAAAATGTATTAAATTATATGGTGCGAGCACTCTAGTTACATCATATTTGTGCCACTTTGTTATTTCCCCGGCTCATTTATTGTGGCGCATAATAATATCAGATTAAGTATGTACATAATACGTATTAATTGTTATTGCTACACTAACATTATATTATACGGCTTTTTTGAAGAAACCTTGCTGATCATTAATGTGGCGATGTTTCAAGAAATTTTTTCAAATTGTTATTCCTCCCTAAATAAGCACAAATTTGCAAAAAAAAATTATGTAACTTTGTAAACCTTTACTGTAACTATAAAGTTACGTGTTTGTTTTACAAATTTGCACTTATTCATTGATAAATAACAAATTTAGATGTCTTTAGAGTGCTTGCACCATAGTGTGGATGAAAGGATGTAATTATTAAGAGCGGATTTTACGCTTTTAATACCGGAATCCCATTTTAGGCAAATACAGATCCTTGATTGTGATTGGCTTACGGCCGTGTAACTGCAAAATTTTGGCCTGCTTTAAATAATTGTTTACTAATTTCTGGTCGGAATTAACTTTTTAACTTTTTCATTCAAAAATCGAAAATTTCAAAGAAATAGTCCCGCTCAACGATAAAATTAACCCAGGAACAATTTTCATTTAATGAGCGGCTGTGATTTAATTAGTAAAATTTTGAGTAATTCCGGGCAAAATTTTTGTTCATCGCTCTTAGCCAATCAAAATCCAATTCGAGAATCTGTCTGGACAATTTTGTTGTAGCAGTTAGGGTTAATGTTAAATTGTTACTGCACCACATCGGTCACATCCTTTCACGTGCCTCCAGGATCACATTTTTCAATGCTAACAATATGAATTGTCATGCATTTCGCCATTCATCAAGAATTTCGCCAACTTCTAATTGGCAAAAGATGAATAACTAGACTCGTAACGAATGCCTGATGATATTATTCATCATTCGTCAGGCATAATTAAATTAGACATCATAACTTTATGAGATGGTGTTAACTTTATTGAAGGCAAGACTTGATAGTTTATATATTTTTCAATTACATACATTGAAGTAAATACTATATATACTTTTGAATCCTTTTTCCTATTATCCGTTAAATATCCGTTAAATCAATCGATTCCATAAATAAATAATGTAAATAGTAAGAATAAATAAATTAAAGTTGTACTAGGTTGGATACATTGTAGATCGGGAGAAGGGTAAAATTGCTTTTCACAATGGCATAACTATTACTCTAATAGCAAATATATGAAAATTACGTCATATATTAATCATGTTATACGAACTGCAATTTACCCGACCACAGCGTTACGATTACATGAAGTACAGAAATATACTGCACAATATTATTAATAGCAAATGCATGAAATGAATAAAATTTATTTTTACAATAAATTGAAAGAAATTAATAGAAAAACTTTTTAAAGTCTACTTAAAGTTGTTTCAATTTCTTTAAATTCTTCGGATATTCTTGATATTCTTTTTGTTAGTTCAATAGAACTACCTATTAATGGTTCAGATTAAATTGACAATGAGTTAATGATGAATATTGATAAGAATCTTTTAAATGAACAGGTTAAATACCTTGAACAATATTTTGATTATCTGAATTGTCATTGACAACGGAATTAATTGATGACAAATGATTAGATAAAATTACTCGAGATGGAATTTTTGGAGGAGAGAAAAGTTTAATTAATAGCATGTATCTTAACCATTCTAAGGGAGAAGGTTGTAAAACTATACCATTATTAACTCTATTATCAATGTTATTATTTTTATTATCAATATTATCTTCGATGATAATATTATTATCAATAATATCGTCATTAATAATATCACTTTTAATTATATCAACATTATTGAAATTCATAGTTTCCAATTCAATAAAATGATTTGAAATGGCTTTGTTGTGAGATTTATGAGGATAATTAGACTCATAAGAGTTAACAATGGAGATCCACCATTTTTGTTTGATAGCCTGGAAAGTACGAGTAACTGCAATATCCTGTGAAAATACTAAAGCATTCAGGAATCCTAATGTGAAATAGACAAGACTAATAATCAAAGAATGTTCAAATAACAAAAGATATATATATATATATAACGTGTAAATACCTTGAATTGACATGGCAACAAAGCAAATTATCATAATTGGATAAGAGATCGCATGATTAAGATAAAAGTAAGTTTCACTCAAACCGCCAGAAAATTGAGCTAACAGTATCACAGGATACCAAATGACTCTTCTGACAACAGATAAAATCATAGTTTTACTAATTAAAGGAGGATGACTAGATGACCGAAAGGTCGAAGAAAAATCCAAGCCATCGATTTGTTTTGCTACTAAGTTGAGTTTTCTAATGACCATAATAATAACGATTGCACAATACAATACAGATGCATCCATCCAGCCGTAAAAAGTAGCCCATTCCTATATTAAATTATATTGTTGACCAGCACCACGATACCAACAACCACTGTAATAGACATTAATCAATCTAAATATATGAAATAAAATATATGATGCCAAAGCAAGGGACAAAGTGCCAGGCACTATTAAGAGTATGGGCATAAAATGCCGGACATAACTTCGGGCACAACCAAAAAATTTTTTAGTTATGTAATAAACAAATATATACTAGCACTAGTAATGCCCATGCCCGTGCCTAGTATCGCAGGATAATTATTTCAATTTCTCAACTTTAAGGAATTAACCATTAACAATTTTAGTAATTCCACAATTTAGGCAGAAGGTACATTTTGATGCAAGAATTTACAGGACGTCAAAAATGCAACTTTTGCATATAAATTATTGAATTACTAAAATTAGAAATGTTTGTCACAATTGTGGAATTACTAAAATTAGAATTGTTTGCCACAATTAGGGAAATAATTCATCTGCATCACTAGCCGTGGCGTACTTATTGTTGTGCACAGGCACGTACCCGGTCGCTGACCCTAGAAATAGTACGTACGTACATTTATATATATAATAGTATAATACTATACATACCCAAGGAGTTCATCATAACCATACATATTAGCGGTAGCAGGAAGTAGAGAGAGAAAAAGAGCGAAAGAAATCGCAACCATAGAATAATAATTTCCAAAATTATGTCTTCTATATTCATTTACGAACATTATATGAAGGTTCTAAAATTAAATAAAAAATGAAAAATGAAAATTAATACATAAACACCTATAAAGAACATAAAATATAATTACAATACATGTTGTGACTTATGTTGAAATTTGGGTCGTGATTTGAAAATATTGGCACTGCTAAAATTCAGATATATCAATTCTAACACTAAAC